AAAGAAAAAGCACAAAAAAAAAAAAAAAAAACACCACTTCAGAATATAAATCCCTCGCAATTTTGCTGCCATCCGATTCTCCTGCATCAGTGGTCGGACGATGTCCCGCAGATGTCCCAAAGGTGTTTGTGGGACAGGGTTTACCTTACTCCTTTGCTAGTGGAACCGTGCCCCAGATGAGGTCCGTACGCATAGAGTTGTACGGTCTTCTGAATGGCAGGCCCATCTGTGCAAGAACCCCCCCCAAAGTCTCTAGCCAGACTCGAACCCATGCCCGTTGTTTTGTAACAGCAGTGCCCTACCATATGCCCTACGCTGTGAAATTGATGCCATCTCTATGATACGCCAGAACTGGTACAAATATCAGAACAATCAATGACCACGACAAGCAACCTAACCCACGCATAGTCAAGACCCAGGATACAACAACCTGGACTAAGGTCAGAACCCCACAGGCGTGCGGAAAAGCGTGGGTTTTGGCGCAGAGGGGGTTTTCAGACCCCACAACCTGTCGGGCATGGCCCCTTTTTTTTTCCAAAAAAAAAAAAAAAAACACCACTACCTCCGAGCCTGTTTGCCTGGGTCCCATTGTATTCTCTTTTCTGGTACCCGTCTGGGACAAACAAAAAGAAAAAGAAACCTAAGAAAAAAAAAAAAAAAGCAAGGACCTTAGGGACTTGAAAGCAGCTGTATACAGAACATTGGGTACGCGTGAGTGAAAGCAGCTGTATACAGAACATTGCGTACGCGTGAGAGTCTGCCAAGGGCGTTACTGCCCTCATCAAAACACGGCAATAGCAGGAAAAGAAAAAGGAAAAAAAGCAACTACTCTTTGGACGTGAAAGAAGCTGGATACAGAACATTGGGCACAAGTGAGAATATGGGCCTCGCCGCACGGCACACGAAACGAAAAACGAAACGAGTGCATCTTCCCGCAGAAAATGGCCAGGTTCATCCGTTTGCTATGAATAGTAACGAGTGTATGTTGCCACCTTCTGTGGGCAGATGCACTCGTTTCGTTTTCGTTTCGTGGGCCGTGGGGCGAGGCCCTATAAAAGGGAAAAAAGCAACTACTCTTTGGACGTGAAAGAAGCTGGATACAGAACATTGAGCACAAGTGAGAATATGGGCCTCCCTCCACTTACTGTCCATTGGGCGTGCAAAATGGCTTGGACGTTTGTCCGACAGAAATACCGTGGAAAATTGACTGTCCATTTTTGTATAGCTCCCAGCCTGCACAAGTACTTTCTTGGACCGTCCTCGGAGGAACTCACGGACCCTCCGCCTTTTTGGACAGTGAGCCTGGAGTCTGGGCGTACAAAATGCTATAGAGGCTGTGTCTTGCAGTGCTGCACCCGTGTCTCATAGGGAACTCGCGAATTTGGGTGTTGTATAGTC